AATGTATTTGTATTTTGTTTATTTTTTATTTTTTATTTAATTTAATAAAGTAAAATTAGATTTATGTAAATATAATTATAGTAAACTGTAATACAAATAGTAAATTCAGTGACCAAATCGTAGGTAAAATCAGTGATCAAATCATGTAAATTCCATATGAATTCCGTGCAAATTCCGTATCCAAACCATATTTTTAGTGATACGGAATTGTGCATTTTTCCGTATCCTATTATGATACGTTATTTCTAAGGAAAAAAAATCGTATAAAAACTTTATAAAAAACGTATCCAATTTTTTTATAGGGCTTATATAGTATTATTAATAACACCATCGGAATTTCTGATTAGAATTCAAAAATTTTAAAATATAAAAATTTTTTAATAACCTGCATCGACAATAAGCTTCCTTATAATTTCTTTGATCTTTGCTAAAATTTCTTGTCGCTATATTTTACTTTGTGTATAGGAATAATATGTAATTAATTAAAAAGTCAGTAAATAAAGATACTGATAAAAGAAATCGTTATACAAAATATTTATTTTTTATTCCTCTATTTGTAAACATTTACATTCATTACTAATCATAATTCATTTTTTAAAAAACGGACATATTCGCTTATGAAAAGATATAGATAATCATATGGAAAAACAACGTGTAATGAAAACAATGAATATATTAATTTTGGATTTTTTTTTTTAATTATTGCACAAATGGGGTTGTGTTACATTTATTAACATTCCAAATTTGGAAATATAAATGGACTACGAATAATAACTAAATAATTCATTTATTTTTTTTTATATTATTTTCATGTTATTTTAAAGTCAAGTAGTTCATTATGCAGGCCAAGAAAAATTTTGCATATACGAGATTATGGACCGTAGTTTTCTCGGTAAATAAAATTCACATCACATGCAAACGTTGCAAAAGGCTGTGCAACCCAAAAAACGGGTTTGAGGCCAAGGGAAAAATAAACAACGTAAAAAAAGACGAATCAAACGTAAATTGTGCGACAGCGATCAATAATTATTGCCAGAGACGAAGTTTATTATCGTATCTTATATAAAACCCATATTATATATTTTTTTTCGTAAATTTCTTTTACTATTTCCATTAAATCAGGCTTGAGAATTCCTAGCCTTCCTCACGTTATTAAGTTTTTATCATAATTATAAAAGTTTTCTTGGACAATATCTTAGAAAGACCTTCCGCGTTGTGCAACAAAAAAAATCGTGAAACATAATATAGTGATGCACATGCAAAGTCCCGTGATTAAAATGGTGATCTGTCAGGTGCTTGTATAAAAAACATTTAATTTATCTGTTATTAAAATAAATTTTAATAATCTGAAGTATAATTATAAAGAAAAATTTGAATATTTGAATAAGGAGTTGCTTCTTTGGTTTTTATTTTCGACATTTTAAGAGTGTAAAAAATATTATAAGTAAAATTTTAAAATTTCTAAGTAAATGTAACAGCATTATATTTTTCCGCATATTTTTATTTGTTTTCACGAGAAATTATAAAAAATAGCTTACTTTATTTTACTATTAAAAAATGGGAAAAAAAATGATTGTATGCAAGTCTTGGGTCGAAGACCGTAAAGATCAGTCCTAAGACCAGGACCGGTCCTCCTAGGAATGAACAAATTTAATTAGTTTAAATTATACATCAAATAAGACTCAAACTCATGGAAAAGTACTACTATATAACTTCGCGAGAAATGATATCTCTTTTACTGTATCACAAAAAAAATGAAATTATACTATTAATTATCGAGTCAAGACTTTCATGATTGTATTTAAGAGTTAATTATGTATTCTCTAAGTATTTATTAAAAATTTTTTCAAACGTAAGTCTTACTAATCAGTTTTAGTTAAAATTTAAACAGCGCAGTATTATTAATACTGAGTCTGTTACTTACGGTAACTGCTAAAAGGTAAAGATCGTAACACTCTGTAGTGCTGGAGACATTAGTAGCACTTGAATTCATTTATTCATATTACCGATATGATTAATTATATTTACTTATGTACTAGGACCCCCGAACAATACTGAAATAGGTCATAGGAAAAAATGCGTAGAAAAGGCCAAAATAACCATGAAAATCTTTCCTTTTTTAGATAATTTTTGATAATGTTGGTCAGATTTTTATTACTTATTTTAGTAACCGACCAACATTATCATAATTCCGGCCCTGAAAAAATGCGTAGAGCTAATAGTAAAATTTTTCCAATTTCCTATGACCTATTTATATATTACTCGGGGTCCTTATGTACTGGATTTTTCTTGATCGGTTTTCCTTTTTAGTTCTTAACATTGGGGAATTTTAATGAAAACTGATGACCAATATGTCTATTACTATGATCTCCAGTTGCAAAAATTTAAACCAAACGATAAATTAATAACTTACAAAATTATTTAAGAAAATTCTATTTTTCTAACGATAATGATTAGTTCTGATTATAATCTTAAATTACGACATGAATTTTTTATTATTTTTATTTTTATTAAGAAAATTAGGGGTTTTTCAAAAACATACCGCATGGTAAACATACTTTGATAAAATACAAAAAAGGGACGATCGACCTGTAAATAATTGGATGGTAGAAAAAGGTAAGAGTACTGTATATCATTTATTTTTATGGAAATGTCGAGTAACATAGGACAAGTATCGGAATTTAAGTTAAATACGAGAGTTTTTCTTCCAAAAAATAATTATTTTCTTTTTCTTATTTACTGGTCGATTATTATCTATCCTAATATACGTATATCAGATATACAAAAAGTTTTTGTCATGGAATATTCGTTTATACAAAGGAAGGTCTTCCTACTGTAGTTCAACTTTTCGTTTGACACTTATACATTTTATAAGAATGTAAATTGTAAATAACAGATACGTATAAATTATTATATAAAAGTATGTATGAATTCTTAAATTTTTTTTTTTTTTTTTATGATTATTGAGCCTGGTAAAGTAAATTAATTTTATTATTTTTTATTTTATGATATAAACAAGACTGTTATATTAAAACTAATATACTATTAATAGTTAAAATCCCACCAAGATGGAATCGCTCCACCTGTTATTTACACAGGCTCGGCTAGCTTAAGACTAAAAAAAATTAAAATGCCCTAAGGAATAAGAATTTTTTAAAAAGGTATCTATCTAATTTTAATACTCCTTATTTTTCTTTTACCATGTTCAAATATGAAATAGTTTAAAAATAAAGGAAAATTTTTTTTCTTTTTTCCTTAGAGCCTTACATGACACGACGTTTCTAGTTAACAAGGAAGCCGTCATCAGAGAATATGGATTGATGCCGAGGTGATAGTGAGGTTGTCATCGTCGTCATTAATTGCGTCATCAATATATCCTCAAATGGAAGCGCGGGACATTCTTTCGTGAAAGAAATTTACTGAAATGTTGCACCAGAAATTTATTGAAGAAAGTGATATCTTCTATAACTATATTCTGATCGTATGTACGCAGTAATTATTTTGTTTTTGCATTCTCGCCGAAGCTGATTCTTTATCTGAAAGGGGTGGATGGAGATGACGAATAGATTTGTAGAGTAAATATTAAATCCGCTTAATAAAGGTGTTGATGAAAGAGGTAACAAAGGGATTTGGTTTTGCCGAATCTTCGCTATAACAAATGAAATGTTTCTTCCTGAAGTCCAAGATCAACTTCAGGAATTATCCAATCAGTTGGTGGAGTAGGAAGGAAATAAAACCTTGCATCACTAGTTCGTTGGCATCATTGCAAATTTCATATTTTTCCATCGCTCTTAAGTCGACGACTATTTCATAACTATCTTTTGGGGATAATCTTTATGAACTCTCGTTGAATATTCTACGGCATCTTTGTTAAGTGGAGCTAACTAATTACTAAAGGACCGCTGAATCATTCCTTTAATCACGAGATTCTGATTAACTGAGTATTATATTAATTTAGTAAAAATTGGATAAAAATTCATATGAGTTGACTAAATATTTCTTGGTAATAATGACGGAAGGAAGAGGTGAAGGAATTGTGATGAGGGAAAGTAAAGTTTGAAAAGATGAAGAAGTATGGCGTAAGGGGGAATATTTTAAAAATCCTAATTTATTACGTGAAACAAAAATAATTTAATAAGTTTGTAGATGTGATAACGCATCATAACGTACTATTTAAATTATAATTTCATCCGTTTCTTGTGAAACACGTAAATAAAGCTTTATATACAAGCTTTCTTCAAGGCTTAATTTTTGTTGTGGAGATAATGATGTTTCGTTATTCCGTGTATTCATATCAAATTGCTCATTATTCAGTAAATCTTCAACAATTAAATGAGGTAATAATTTACACCTGACAAAGTAATTCGTTGTATAATATTGATAAAAAAATTCATGATCGTAATTAAAATTATAATCAGGATCACTATCATTAAAAAAATCAGTATTTTCTTGAACAATTTTGTAAGTTATTAAAAAAAAATTTTTATCCTTTGATGTACTATGAAAAAATCTTCCCTTAGTAATTAATCGGCGTTGCACAATTGTTGCGACTGGATTAACAGTAGGTGGTGAAGTAGACATGTTTCTTCTTTGATTTATTAAATAATCGGAGTTTTATTTTCAATAATTTTAATGAAAAAAAGGTTATAGAATTTTTGTAACCGGGTTTGGTATATTTATATATGATACAAGATCGGCTTTACAATAAAGCTAACTATTTTAGCTTAATTTTGTTTGTTTATGTCTTTAAAATAAAAGAAGTTATAAATATAGATTAATGTATCGATTAACGTATGCCGGATTTTTTTACCATATTTATACTTGAACCGATAAAAAGAACAATATTATTAATAGATATATTGTTAACAAAGTGCATAAGCCAGATTAATAGAACTAGAATATTAGATTTCGAAATCGAAGTTATAAATTTTTTTAATCAAAACTTCTTGTGAATGATAGATCTTTGTTTGTCTGTTTATTATGCATCGTTTCATCATTAATTTGTCAATATAGGATAAGTAGAAAAAAAATAAAGTAAGGTTAGTTCTCGAAATATTTAGTTACACAAAATAAATTTAAAACTTTATAAAAAAAAATGTCGAATTTAATCCTTAATTTGTTTCATTAGTCATTGAAAGTTTAATATAATAGAAAATGTTCTTTATTTTTCGTTTAATTATGTAATGCTTCCTAAAAATATAATCTAATCAAAGTACTTAACCTTCTCAAGATAATATTTTTTTTTAGCTTAATCATGATATGCATAGTTTATTTAATCTAGATTCTTTTGTCGAATTTGAAAGATCAACGTGTCATTAACAACAAAGCGATTTTCAAAATGAATAAGATCAAAGAAGGGAAATCATAAAAACTGTCGTTGACTACTAAATGGAGTCACGGTATGTACTGTAGATATAAAAGAACACCGCAGATTATTCCAATTTTGGGAAACAAGGATTTAGCGAACAAACTTTGCAGTTTTGCAAACTAACCTACCAAAAATGCCATGTTAATAACGTTAATAAAATTTACGATGATAGTTATAATTTTCTCGATTAATAAAAAAGCATAATATTTTTATCTCATATAAGATTAATATTAAATCGAAAAATTTACTTAAAAATGTTTATTTTGTTTAAGCTCTTTCCTTTTTTATTAAACAATTCAAACCATAATAGTCTAAATAAAGAATCATTATTTATCGATTTATATATATACGTATGGATATGCGTACACTATGCGGAACAAGACCGTATAAAGTTAATTAGCGCCTTGTATAATTCTCCTTATGTACAATATCTCCCCTACATACGGAGTCATATTATGCAATACCATAAATATTACGATATCCTTCTTAGTTATTGCCTCGGGTACTAAAAATTAAGCTTTTATTAATGCAGAGAAAATACTGGTTCTCCTTTTTAAAACAATAGATTTTTGTTGAATAATTACTTATATAGTATTATTAATAACACCATCGGAATTTCTGATTAGAATTCAAAAATTTTAAAATATAAAAATTTTTTAATAACCTGCATCGACAATAAGCTTCCTTATAATTTCTTTGGTCTTGCTAAAATTTCTTGTCGCTATATTTTACTTTGTGTATAGGAATAACTTTACAGAAACTTAGCGATGGCTTAATGCGCAGTAACTGCATATATGTAATTTCTTTACGATTACATAATGTGGTCACTATGTATTTATAACGCAGTTACTGCGCATTAAGCCATCGCTACAATCTTGAAGTTTCTGTAAAGTAATATGTAATTAATTAAAAAGTCAGTAATAAAGATAATACTAATAAAGAAACTGTTATACCAAATATTTATTTTTTATTTCTCTATTTGTAAGCATTTGGCATTCAAGTACTAATCACCATTCATTTTTAAAAAAAACGGCTTATGAAAGGATATAGATAATCATATGGGAAAACAACGTGTAATGAAAACAATGAATAACTGCTACAAACAACAATCAAAACGAATGACATGAATGAACTGGTCGAAAAAAACTGCATTTGGCTTTTTTTTTTAATAATTACACAAAAATTTTTTTTTCAAAGCTAATAAGGGACTATGGGGTTGTGTTACATTTATTTACATTGAAATGTGTCCAAATTTGGCCATGTTTGAAAGGATTGAATGAAACTAATCACAATTCAGCAAAATTAATTCCGGACTGAATAATACGAATTTTAATTAATATTATATTTTAAAGCTTAAGAAGTTCAATACAAAAATGATTAATATTAACATATATTTAACAAGAAGAAAATTTGCCTTAAACCTCAAGGGAAATAATTAAAAGCTATTTAAATAATTAAAATCGAAAAATGTAATAGCGGGGATGGCTTACATTTGGGGGAAAAATTTGCACACACCGAATGAACTTATTGGTTCCCCTATTTGGGACTTTTGAATGAACATATTAAAAAATTTGTACAATGATGATCTCTGCTCCTTTCCGAGGATAATTATAAAAGTGTCTCAACTTCATCAAAATAAATTCACAAAAAAAAAAATGGAGCCACTATACAACGAGTTAAGAATCGAAATATTCAAATTTGTAGATACACCAATTTCACTCGCTCTAACTAATAAAAAGTGGTATGTTATCTCGCAAGATCCGCAGTCTCGCGCTGATTGGCTAATTTATAAGTACGGTCATGCACATGCGCTGTTCCACGCAGTAAACTAACATTCATTTATTATAAAACTAAGTCTCCTAAAGAAGCAATATGTCTACTTCACCAGCTGCTGTTATTAATCCAGTCGCAACAATTATACAACGTTTTCTAATTACTAAGGGAAGGTTTTTTCATAGTACACCAAATGATACAAGAAAATTCCGATTATTTGATGAAAATGATTCCGATTATAATCTTAATTACGATCTTGAATTTTTTTATCAACATTATGCAACGAAGTATTATTATGTCAGGTGTAAATTATTAACTCTGAAGATTTATTGAATGCTGAGCAGTTTGATATAAATACACGAAATAACGAAACACCATTATCTCCACAACAAAAATTAAACCTTGAAGAAGGCTTGTATATAAAGCTTTATTTACTTATTTCACAAGGAACGGATGAAATTATAATGTAAATAGTACATTATGGTGCGTTTATCACGTTTATTATTATTAAATTATTTCAGTTTCTATGAATTTCAAAATATAAAATATTTCTCTCCTACACCATACTTCATTCATTTTTTTCTTAGCTCCTTCACCTATTCCTTCATTATTACCTAGAATTATTTGGTCAACTCTTATGCTTATTACATCATTCTTATACCGTAAATTTTTCAATTTTTAAATAATTCAAGTGACTATGATCTCATGATTAATATCAATCACTGCACATGTAATAAAATTTAAGGGCAAAATTTTCTTTGATAGCCATATTATGGTTCCGTATAGGCTTTTCTACTATTAGCTAACATATGCAACTAGTGCTTCGATCCGGATGAAACTTGAATATTTTCATGTGACGATTATGGCTGAGAAAGATTATGAATTTCAGACTTAAACAGACTATAATTTAAACCAACATTAAAGTATTATTATCCTAAAAATTTATACTAATTCTTGCCAAACTCATAGTACCAGCGAAATTTAATGAAATTCAATCCGGATGAAAAACCGGATAAAACCGCTACGGATCAATTATTCCTTTATTATATAATACCTCATACAATTTTTATCTTCAATTAATTATAAATATAAAATCATATAAATTATATATATAAATACTGTCAACAATTCAAACAATCTTGTTTATTAATAACATTTCGTTTTTCACAAAAATGCCTAATGAAATGAAGTTTAGTAGACAATGTTGACAGTAGGCTTGAGAATCCCTAACCTTCCTTACGTGATTAAACTTTTATCATAATTATAAGAGTTTCTTGGACGATATCTTTGTCGATCCAGGAAGACCTTTCCGCGTTGTGCAACAAAAAAAATTGTGAAACATAATATAGTGAGTGACTTGCCATGCAAAGTCCCGTGATTAAAATGATGAGTTTGTATAAAAAAAAATAAATAAAACATTAATAAATTTTTAATAATCCAAAGTATAATTGTAAAGAAAAACTTACTTTTCTTTGAATAAGGAATGGCTTCTTTGGTTTTTATTTTCGACATTTTGAGATTGTAAAAAAAATATTAAAAATTTAAAATTTGTAAGTAAACGTAACAGCATTACAAACAATTCCTACAAGTATATTTTTACTATTAAAATAGGAAAAAAAAGAATAAAAAGATTTATAATATGTTAGTAGTTAATGTTAATAACAATCCTTACTTCTAGAAGATACTTAATAATAATTTAATTACATAATAACTCTCAAATACGATCATTTTTGACAATTAATATATATTTTATTCTTTTATGAAGGAGATATCATTTCTCGCGAAGTTATATAGTAGTACTAAGATTTAAACGACGCAGTATTATTAATACCTTTAGCCTGTAAGGTAAAGATCGTAGCACGAGTTATAGAAATACTGCGGCGACCAATAGGAATTAACGTCATTAATAATGCTAATTGAAGTATCACAAAGTACAAAAAAAAAAATATCTTTTTAATATTATTTGTTATTAGTCACTTCTTGCAATTTTGCCGATTATGTATTGAAACACAAAGTTCATAAAATCTCTATTTTATAAAATAGAACTTTGATTAAACAATCATTATAATTATGTAGAGAAACTTTGAATCACAAATTTTCAACAATTGAATTTCCTTTCTTATTTTTAGAAAGAACAATAAAGGTGTCTAGTTAGTAATTCATAACAATCATACATCGGAAAAAAGCCGCTGTTTTAAATAACATCTTATTTCCTTATTATTCATAATTTTTTAATTTTAATGAACTTATATTCATAATAAGGTTAATACTCCATAAATTAAAAATCATAAAATTAAAGAAAAAATAAAAAAAGTCCTTAATTGAACCAAATTAAATAATCTATTGTAATATATTCGTTAATTTTAACATAGATTAGTCCTTCAATCATTTTATAAGTCCGTAATTTTATCTAATGTAAACGAGAAATAAAAATTAAATTTAAAAGTATGTCAAACCGTTTTCATTGTTGATGTTGAATATGATGGGAATCAACATGCTGTAATCGAGTAACTTGGTGAATATCATTTACATCGTGATCGCATATCAAGCCGTTGGTTTGCGTTGTCATTACATTGTCATCAATATTATTATTATGCAAATCTGTGTCCTTATAATTATTGTTGATATGATTATCTTGGTGATTATCTTGCTGATTATCATTCATATCTTGGTGATCGCATAACAAGCCATTAGCTTGCGTTGTCGTTACATTGTTTTCAATATTTTCATTATGTGAATCTGTATCTCTATAATTATTGTTGATATTATTATTAACTTGGTTAATATCATTTATATCTTGGTGATCGTTAGTTTGCGTTGTCGTTACATTATTTCCAATATTTCCGTTATGCAAATCTGTGTCTCTATAATTATTGTTAAGATCAACTTGTTGCTGTATGTAAGCAAAGTTTCTAGCGCCATTTACATCTTGGATATAATTACCATAGTTTTGATTAATATCAGTTGTCAAAACAGATTGTGTTACGGGTGTATTATTCACGATATTTCCATGAAATGAATTTAAATTTCCATAATAATTCGATCCCATTTCTCTATCAGTAATGTGCTGTGAAATATTATTGAAATCAATTTGTTGTTGTGAATTAGTAACGTTATAATTAACTCTATTTTGTGACACCACAGATGTTGAACTTGAAAGGGGATTGATTGGTTGAGGAAAACCATTGTTTTGACTATCAGCGATCGAAACTGCTTGTGTTGTCGGTACATTATTTGTATTTTCATTACAACGAATTCCTTCAGGAATTTGTTGTGGAATATTATTTAAAACAAGTTGTGGATTAATGTCATTATTAGTAAAACACCCAGCTCTAGTTTGTTGAGGAAAGCTATTATCAAAATTAGTGTGATTATCAGTTATCGAAATTGTTTGTGTATTATGCACATAAGAAGAATTCATTCTTATTTCTTTATTAGAAGTATGATTTTGTGTAAGATGAAAAGGAAGAATTCGTTTCAAGTCTTGTTCCAAATCTAATCTTTGATTCAAAGATAATAATTCTTTTCGTTTCAAGTTATTTATGCCAATATCTATTCCATATATTTTCTTGTTCAACATATTTGCGACCAAAGAATGTGGAAGTATTTTACACATGACATAATAATTTGATATAGGGTTAATATTATAAAAGAATCCATGATCATAATTGTAATCATCAAAGGAGTCAAACCCTTGTAAAAGAGTTCTGTAAGTTATATGATAAAATTTATCATAATTTGGTGCATAATGAAAAAAATTACATTCATTCATTTGTATGTTACTTTGCGTGCTAGGTTGAATATTCATATTCATAATGGTTCTTAAATTGTTAATAACGTTGATAAAGTTGGATGAAATTTAACAATGGGGTTATTTGAGAGAAGGATTATCGTTGGTTATAAAAAGAATTGTATTGAATAACAATAAAGGTGAAAAATAATTTTAATATAATATCTTTATATCAAGATAAGCACGAATTTTTATGAATAAAAAATTTAAGAATAAAATAATTTGTAATTTTATTTTTGAAGGATAAATGGAAGGGGGAGTAGAAGGTCGTTCCCGAATATATTATAGGAACGAATGGATGATCCTAAACCTCAATATATTCATATAAAGGAAGCTTAAAGTTTCTACTTTTTTTATTAAATTGTTTTGAGTGGTATTGGAATAAAAAGTAAATTCAAAGATCGATTTAAAAATTTTGTGAATTTATCAAATTTTTCGAGGGTTTTTATAAGAAAAATTTGATGTGATACAACAAAAAAAAAAAGGAATTTAAGATCATGTGTAATGTTATACAACAAAAAAAAAATAATAATAATAAATTTAAGGTCATGCATATTGTGATAACAACAAAAAAAAAATAATTTAAGGTCATGCATAATGTGATAACAACAAAAAAAAATAATAATTTAAGGTCCTGCTGTCTCATGCATAACGTGATAACAACAAAAAAAAACAAAGCCCGGAATTTAAGGTCATGCATAATGTGATACAACAAAAAAAAAAGAAAGAAAAAACTGGGTTTCCAACGCCAAATAGACCATTGTGTCCCTGAATAATGGGTGATACACTCACTTATTACTAGGAAACGGAAATTTTGATTGGATTCCGAAATTGAAAAATTTTTAACAAATGTAGATCTTTGATTATTTTTCTTCGTTATATTAAGCTTAGAATATGCTGCATCATTAATTCACCAGATGTTCTTTTTATTTATAGATTATAAAAACAAGTAATAGAGTAACATGATACTTCTTATTCGGTCTTCTATTTGTTCAAAGTGTAATCAAACAGAGATAAGATCACCATATTCTAGCTCATTTATAAATCAATAAAAAGAGAGGAAGTAATAAAAAAAGGACTAGCCCAATTGTTAGTCATTAAAACTAAAATTTTAGAAAAAAAATGACGAATCTACTTTCATTTGTTATGAAAATTTTGATAAGATAGAAAATCATTTTTTATTAAACTTTATAATGTCAATGTTTCCTAAAAATATAATTTAATTAAATATGGTAATCTAAGGTATGATATGCGTACATAATGCGGCATAAAAACTGGTTCTCCTTTTTAAAACAATAGAATACATTCTTGTTAAATAATTACTATTAAAAGTCAGTAAATAAAAATACTAGTAAAAGAAATTGTTATACCAAATATTTATTTTTATTCCTTTATTTGTAAACATTTGCATTCAAATACTAATCATCATTCATTTTTGAATAACAACAATCAAAATTATTACACCAAATTTTTTTCAAAGCCAATAAGGTAAACAGATGGGGCTGTGTTACATTTATTAACATTGAAATGTGATCAAATTTGGAAATAGATTAAAGGGGCTAATTTACTTCCGAATAATAACTTAATAATAAGTCATTTATTTCTATTTATATTATTTTCATGTTATTTTAAAGTCATTGCCAAGAAAAATTTGGCATACATCACAAAATTCTCAGGTAGCACAAATAGTTAAATTTCTCAAAATTTATGCAATATAATTAACAATATTATATGTATAATTCTTTGTACAAATTTATATAAAAATCAACGCATTTTTTACAATATATTGTATGGAAAATACATTATATATATTAAATATGCAATTAATGTGCATTTTCAGGGTGAGCAAATCAATTTTTTCATGCACAAATTATTGCATATTTTTTACATATAAAAAAATTTCCTGATGTATACGAAATTATGAATCGCATCTTCTAGTATTCTAGAATTCTGGACAAATAAAATTCACATCACATGCAGGTAAAAGTTGCCAAAGTCTGTGCAACCCAAAAAACGGGTTTGAGGATAAACAACGTAAAAAGACGAATCAAACGTAAATTGTGCGACAGCGATCAAATATTATTGCATAGCCAAAGACGAAGTTTATTATCGTATCTTATATAAAACCCAAATTATATATTTTTTTTCGTAAATTTCTTTCACTATTTCCATTAAATCAGGAGAATCCCTAGCTTTCATCACGTGATTAAGTTTTTATCATAATTATAAAAGTTTTTTGGACAATATCTTAGAAAGACCTTCCGCGTTGTGCAACAAAAAAAAATCGTGAAACATAATATAGTGATGCACATGCAAAGTCCCGTGATTAAAATGGTGATCTGTCAGGTGCTTGTATAAAAAAACATTTAATAAATTTTTAATAATCTAAAGTATAATTATAAAGAAAAATTTGAATATTTAAATAAGGAGTAGCTTCTTTGGTCTTTATTTTCGACACTTTAAGAGTGTAAAAAAAATATTTTATTATAAGTAAAATTTTAAAATTTCTAAGTAAACGTAACAGCATTATAAACAATTCCTAGAAGTTGCATTTTTTTCGCATATTTTTATTTGTTTTCATAAAAAATAGCTTACTTTAGTTTTACTAGTATTAAAAAATGGGAAAAAAAGAATAAATAGTAGCACTTGAATTCATTTATTCATATGACCGATATGATTAATTATATTTGGATTTTTTTTGATCGGTTTTCTTTTTTAGTTTTAGCAGCAGAGTTTTAACATTTGGAAATTTCAATGGGATTTTAATGAAAACTGATGACAAATATATCTATGATTATGTAATTCGTATAAGCAAGCAACGTCAGTTACTTGTTAAAAGACATAGTAAACCAAACGATAGAAAATTCTGATTTTCTGATTTTCGTAATGATCCTGATCGTGAATTTTTAAGTTATTAAGAAATTTATTATTTGATGTACTATGAAAAAGCCTTCACTTGATGAAGTAAACATATTACTTTAGAAACAAGTGAAGATTATTTTTGCAATTTTATATGAAAATAATATTTTAACAATTATAATTAAATATCAATTTCTAATTAAAATTTAAATCTATAACTTTATATACAAAAAGTATTACTTTATAAACTCTAAAAAAACTGTCACCTTTTAGTGTATAAATTGTGCAAACATGGAAACGCGTGAAACGTCTTCGGCCAATCTATATTAAAATAATTTGGTTGGCCATCAGATCATGTGTACGTTCTGTGAAATTTTAATTGGACATTTTTTTTTTTTGCTACGACCGAAAAAGTTTGGTTACTGAAAATAATTTTTTTTTATTGATTATTATTTTTTATTAGTTTCAATATTTTTTTTTCAAAACCAAAAAAAAAAATTTTTTTAATTAGTTTTATTTTCAGGTTTTTTATTTTGATTTTGTGAATTTTTTATTATTTTATATATTTTGTTGAATTTTTGTTTAATTTAATTGTTTGTCTCCATCCAACATAAGTTGTAATAAATTCTTAATAATATAAGATAATTAATGATATTAATTATAAATCATAAATTAAATATGTTTCCAAATACTAACTAATACGGCTGTCGTACATCTTTCGTATATTATGCATCAATTCTTTATAAATATAAAGTATTTATAGTATTGTTAATTTTGTGATCTAAATGACTTCCTCTCAGGAAATATTTGAAGTTGAGGTGCCTGAACAACGTAAAAAAGATTATGTAAAGACCAAGTCTGTATCAGAAAAAGGGAAAAGGCCATGGCACATGGGCATAAATTTTATAGATAAGCAGCATATTCCTGTTGAAGTTGTCTCTCTAAATAGTTGAGGAAATTTAAATTTGGGTTTATACAACGTTCTCATCTACAGTGTTGTAGAATAAAATATTAATACAATACATATCTTTAATAATATGAATAATTATTGTTTTGCTTAAATTTTTGTTTAACGCCATCTCACAGGATCCTCATGTCCGTGGTAGCGGATATTAATATGTAAATGTGGTCGAACCACACTTTATTTCACGCTGTTAGACTTTGATTCGATTTTTTATCAGTTGATGTTTAAGCTTTTACTCGCAAGAAATGTGATGATTTCTAGTAATTTCACTTTGGATCTTATGATAAAATTTTATAGAACTTTGAAGTTCGAATCCTATCAGATTTACATTATGTTGGATTTTAAGTTGCATATTTTTTGGGGTTACTTATTTTCGGAGGAATACGGTAATTCCTTTTGAAAGGACACGGATTCTATCAAAATCAATTTGATTGACATTATGTTGGACCTTAAGTTTTATAAGTTGTTTTGCATCGTAAGATCTAAAATGCATTAATAGACATCTAAAAATTAGCGCATTTATTGTCAAAGTCTAACATTTTTAGGGTTGCTTATGTTTGGAGGAATACGGTAATTTCTTTTGGAGGCACGAATATTTGATCAATTTTGCATTCAAATATTATAATATAATAAAATAAACACTTAAAATAAATCAATATATATGCTAAATAACCTAAAAGTATTTTATTAATAAATTAGATTCAAATTTCACAAGTAATTATGATAAAATAAATTCCTCAATACAAGATTTTTTACGTTATTTTCTGTTAATCAAATTTCAATAATACATATCTTAATTATAAATAAAAAAGTTTGCACCTTTTCCATCCCGTCTTAACTTACTATTTACGAAGTTATAAGTATAATTTCATCCGTTCCTTGTGAAATACGTAAATAAAGTTTAATATACAAGCTTTCTTCAAGGCATAATTTTTGTTGTGGAGATAATGGTATCTCGTTATTTTGCGTATTCATATCAAACTTCTCATTATTCAATAAATCTTCAATTATTGAATCAGGTAATAATTTACACCTGACATAATAATTCGTTGTATAATATGAATATAAAAATTCATAATCGTAATTAAGGTTATAATCAGGATCATTTTCATTAAAAAAATTCGAATTTTCTTGAATAATTTTGTAAGTTATTAAAAAAAAATTTTTATCCTTTGGTGTAATATGAAAAAACCTTCCCTTAATAATTAATTGACGTTGCATAATTGTTGCGACTGGATTAACAGTAGCTGGTGAAATAAACATGTTGCTTCTTTAGGGACTTATTTTTATAATATAATATAAATGAAAAAATTATGATGTTATTTTTGAAGAAATTAAAATGTGGAGGGTGTATACGTCCCCCGCGTGTGCACGACCGTATTTATAAATTAGCCAATCAGCGCGAGACTGCCGATCTTGTGAAATAGCATCCGTAAGATCAAGTGAAATTAGGGAAATTAGGGTATTTACGACTTGAATATTTGGATTATTTAATTCGTTGTAAATACTTTTAATTTGATTTTCGCGAAGAAAAGAAAGAGAGAGAAAGTAACTTTCCATTTTATAAGTAAAAATGTCCGGAGTAAACGATCATCGGTAATTTTTTTAATGTCCATTTAACCCAAATAGGGTAAAATAGTGAATGAAATTCCTCAAATGTATAAAAAAAAGCAAGCTATCCAGTTTAAGTAAAATGTTCTAAGCAATTTTACTTTTTAATAGAGCTTTTTAACTTTAAAATAATATTTAAAATAGTATTTTATAATTATTAAAGCCTTATTTATTAATTTATTATTCAAAATTATTTTTTCTTAATTGTTATTGGCTCGTCAATATCATAAATGTCACACATAACCCTATTTTTATAGGTCTTTGGATATTGGCCTTGGCTAAAAAAAAAAAAAAAAATTTTTCTACGATCAAACTTTGCAAATCAAAAATAATTACGCAAGTGATGATAAACTGACGAATCATATATTTCCATTAAATGCTATTATAATCATTTGTTTATACCTTCTTTTTATTTAGTAACTCTATAAAGACATAAAAAAAAAAAAAAAACTTAGTTAACATAGTTTTAAATATTCATATAAACCAAAATTATAAAAAATTCCATTACTGATATTACTGATATTCAATTATACTGTACATCAAAGAAGCAATATGTTTTAATCCAATTACAACAATTTTGCAACGTCAGTTACTTAATTAAAGGGATCGTATTTTGACAACAAAGATATTGACTATTTTTAGCTTAGTTTACGCCTTTACAGAGTTATTAAATAAAAAAAAAGGTACATGGAATTCTTCGCAAACTTAAACGTGACCTTTTTTTATGTTAGTTTCAGATCCTGCATATATGGAAAAAAAAAATGCAATGACAACACAATCAAAATGAATGAATTGGCCTTAAAAAGTTAAGAATGGCGTTGTATTACATTTATTGACATTTGATTGTGACCAAATTTGGAAATGTATTAATGATAAAAGAATGGATGTTGATTCTGAATAAAAACTGAATATTAAAACTTTTTGTAATTATTGATTTATATTATATTCATGTTAAGTCAAGGAGTTCAATATATAAAATGATTAATATTTAAAATTTTAGTTTAAAAAATTTTACATATACGAGATTATTTGACCGATCATTTGCACCCACAACTTGTTGGTGGGAGGTATTGAATCACGTGATCATAGGAAAAAATACCGCATGACTATTTTAGCTTAGATTTGTTTTTTTCTTAGCCTCAAACCGTTGCACAGACTTTGCCTGATTTGGCGTAGAATTTTTTTTAACGAAGAATTCTTTCATAGAAAATGATAAGTGAAAAGGTTGTGATGCGACGGCGATCTACGAAGTTTTATCATATCATATAAAACCTAAATTATAATTTTTTTTTCAAAATTTTATCACCTTTTCTTTTCACTCTTTTCATTAAATTATTGAATAAAGATTATTCTTTTATACAATTATATATCAAAAAAGCAATTTGTTTACTTCGCTAGCAGCTACTGTTATTAATCCAGTCGCAACAATTATGCAACTTTTAATTATTACTTCTTAATATCTTATAAAATTTAATCAAGAAAATTCTGATTGTATGATCCTGATATAATTTTAATTACGATCATGAATATTTTTATCAATATTTACCAAATTCAATAGTTGAAGATTTATTGAATACTGAGCAATTTGATATAAATACACGAAATAACGAAACATCATTATCTCCACAACAAAAATTAAACCTTGAAGAAAGCTTTTATATAAAGCTTTATTTACGTATTTCACAAGGAACAGATGAAATTATAATGTAAACAGTACATTATGGTGCGTTTATCCATTTATTAATTATTAAATTATTTCAGTTTCTATGAATTTTAAAATATAAAATATTTCTCTCCTACACCATACTTCATTCATTTATTTCAAACTTTACTTTCCCTACTATATCTCTTAACTCCTTCACCTCTTCCTTCATTATTACCTAGAATTACCTAGAATTACTTAGTCAACTCTTATGTTAAAGGAAATAATATAGAATTATTTCATGTTCTATCAAGCAGTCCTTTATTAATGATCCTCAAAAAATAATTTTAAAAAAATTTGTACCTCTTCCACCTCGTCCTAAATCAATTCACGAAGATCTATAAAGGATGGTTATAAAAATAGTCGTCAATTTAATGTCGTGGTTAGAGCCATATCGTACATCTGATTTCGAAATTTGAAGTGATGTAAACGATCTCGCTATGCAAGATGCCTTTTGATTTTATTTCTTCCTGATCTACCAACTAATTCGGTAATTCCTGACGTAAATTCTGTATTTGATCGTTTATATCAACTTGGATTTCAATTAACTAGAACTATTATGTAGGGAGCATTTCATTGTTTGAACATAGAAGGAGCGTTGTATAATGATACAACGGCAGAGACTTGATCAGACTTGCCATATGCAAAGTCCCGTGATTAAAATTATGATCGTAGTTTGTCTAAGTAAAAAAACATTTAATTTATCAAAATAAATTTTTTAACAATCAAAAGTATAATTATAAAAAAAACTTACTTTTTCTTTGAATAAGGAATAGCTTCTTTGGTTTTTATTTCGTCTTTCTAAGATCATAAAAAAAATATTTTATCATAATCAGTAAAATTTGTAAGTAAACGTAACAGCATTACAAACAAGTTCCATGCAGTTTCTCGAAAAATTATAAAAGATGGCTTACTTTATTTTACTATTAAATTAAAAAAAAAATGGGGCAAAGGGAAAAGTAAAAAGAATAAAATATGTCAACTGTTGCTTCAGTTGTTAGCCACAAATCAAAGATTTAATGAATAAAATTAATCGGTAATTTTAATCTCCTTACAATAGACCCAAAAGCCCCCCAGACAGCGGTTTCCACGGTGATCTACTCGACCGCCAAATTAGACGATGTTCGCCTGCCATTTTACAAAGTACTGACAGATATTCTACAGGCTTTGTAAATCATCTATTTCACGATCATTGTGTAAATCATTGATATCCACATAATTAAGCCCATACCTAACGTCAATCAGTTGATTTCGTTTTTTTCAAAAAAAAATTAAGCTTTCGTTAGGCTAGCAATTTATCTTCACCAATTTTTACGAATGCAGGGCTTAATAATTAATGAAAATTTCGTGATTAGAGGAAATATTATCAGCTGGTTTTAGTAATAATAATTATTTTCAAAAACTTTCCGCAAAATCTTAATTATAAAAATTCGTACCTCTTCTACCCGTTCTAGACCTACGAAGATACCATAGATTTTAATTATTATAATCTCATCCGTTCCTTATACTGTAAATAAAGCTTTATATAGACTTCAAGGCTTAATTTTTGTTGTGGAGATAATGGCGTTTCGTTATTTCGTAGTAATTAGCAAACGTTGTATTATTGTTGCAACTGGATTGACAATAGTTGATGTTTTCTTTAGAAACAAGTGAGCATTTATTTTTAAAAAGTTTAAAATAAAATTTTTTGAAAAAATCAAAATTTCGGTAGAATATTAATATTAATACATTATATGAAAAATGCATTGGCACGATCGTAATCATAAAATCATGATGGAAATAATTTCAGCATGTTACGTCATTTATTGCTGGAGATATTCGGCAATAAATGATGTAACATGCCGAATATGAGCAAAATTGATTAATTTATCATGATCACGTAAGGCTACTAGGAATATAACCACTTCGTTATTCAATAATGATTATTGTCATGTGCCACTGCATCGTATAATGACATTCAATCATTCAACATCTTTCCATATTAACTTCGTGATTACGTGCCTAATAAGTATAACTATGTAATAATAAGCCAATTTTGAATTTCACGAAACGAAATTTTTTGTTATCACTCATGTCACACTATCTTTGTCATTCTTTTTTAAGGAGGTCGGCGTTATTTTGGCGTAATAATATTTTCATTATTTTTATCACGAGCTTTTATATATTAATATCTTTTTATTGATCATCTACTACATGCAGGATTACAAGATAAAGGTAATAATAAAGAGATTTATAAATTGGATGAATGGGCAATAATTGTTGTTTCACTCATAAAAAAAAATGAACTGCCAGAATCGTATTAAAAATTCTTTTTATATTAATATGAAGTCACCGTGGAAAAGATAATAAGATTTTTATTGATTTTCTTCTTCGAAGATCAAATGTGTCACAATGAACTTTAATAAAGGAAATAAAGGGAAAAATGTATAGCTTATGAGAAATAACTAGCTTATTATCGTACTTAATTTAGTAAAATATGGAATTATATACGGTATAAAATATATATATGTATACAAGTAAGTATAAATTATAATTCCGTACTAATATCTAAAATATCTAAATTAATTTAATTTAAACCTCCGAAATTATATACCAGATGGAACAAGTAAGATCACATGATTAATCTGACCGAATCTATGACTTCGGTCCGATAATAAATTATTAAATTCTTTAGTAGCCGATCGATTCCCCCCTTTTTTCGCTTCTAGGGATAAGTTGTGATCCGAAAGTTTATATAAACGAATACAAATAAGAGAAATAATTAAAGTTTTTAAAAAATTACTAATTTTATTTATTTATTTATTTTTTTAAGAATATTCTATAGGCAAACCGGAAGATTTACTTTTATGGTAAACTATTCCATGAAGGAACAATCATTTAGAAAAAGATTCGAACGAATAAAAGAAAAAAAGATATATCGACCTTACTTTTCCCATTTATATATTTAAATATTTTTATCCATCCTTCTTGCAGTCTTGCTTAATATCACCATGAATCTCCAACTACTAAATCCTAAATAAAATATAAAATCCCTTTAAGAAACTTTTATTTGATATTTTTGTTGTTACATTGTAATTTCTAGAACTGTATTATTCTTTGAATCATTTCCATTATCGTGAGAATTAATTTTGTGTAAAATATTAATACAACTTCACCCTTGTTTAGAACTTTTTAATGATGTTACTTCAAATGTAAATGTAAACAAAACATTTATAATTTAGAAAAAAACATGAAAGATTAAACACACCCCTTAACTTAAATTATATTAAAGTATCATATATTTCTTTATGGCTACGTAATGCCACTACCAGTAGCGTATGAACATGGGTTGATCTACCATTATAAATTAATTCTATTGTTGTTACAAAATTCAAAAATTCTATTATAATTATGACATCGCTATCGTCAAACCAATTGTTTATTATTTTTAAAAAAAATATTTTTAAATTAAAATTTTATGCATAGCTGCTTTTGGTAAAAATATCAAAGGATGAAACACAGAAAATGAATAATTTGCCAAAAATAATAAAAAATATTTGTGCGGTTTTTTTTTTGTGTCACCAAAATTCCAAGTTCTTCTAACAAGTCAGGCAGTGTTACCCATATGGCAATTTTTCATTCATAATTTTCCTAAATTTGATGAGGCAGGGGCAGCAATTTGGCGTTGCACATGCATATTACCTAGTATAAATTGATTGTAGCACATAGCACAGCCGCACAAATAATTTTGTGTATGACCTAATGAATCCAATAAATAATCATTTTAGGGTGAAATGTGGGAAATGTTTTCCCTTTTTTGCTATGGAGTCTCTACTTCATGAAATTAGAAGTGAAATATTTAAATTTATAGATACACCTATTTCACTTATTCTTACAGATCGCAAATGGTATGCTGTCTCGCAAGATCCTCATGTTCGTGGGGAATGGTTAATATATAAATATGGTCGATCCCACGCTTTGTTTCATGGCGTTAGGCTTGGAAATGATTTTTTAAAGCTTGACGTTGTTCAGGCATTGCTCGCAAGAAATGCCATGATTTCTAGATATTTTGTACAACGTCTATTAATGCATTTTGGGTCATATGATGAAAAACTTATAGAACTTAAGATCCAACATAATGTAAATCAAATTGATTTTGATAGAATTCGTGCTTTTCAAAAGAAGTTACGTTGTCCTTGGGCTAGTAATCTACCTTTACCAATTTTTACTAAACTAATCACTGAAGGATATAATACTTTAAGTGATCATGATCTTGTGATGAAAGGGAATGATATGGAATTATTTCATTTTCTATCGGCTGGTCCTCTTGTCATTAATGATGCTCCTCAAAAACTTCTTCAAAATCTTAATAATATTGAAGATTTGATTTTAAATAAAAAGTTTGTACCTTTCCCCCCTCGTCCTAAACCTATTTTCGAAGATACCATAGAATATATTCAATTAATGCAAGCGAGAGCTCATGAAGATTATCCTCCGAAGGATGGCTATGAAAATAGTCGTCAACTTAATGTCGTGGCTAGAGCGATATTGATACATCCTGATTTAGTAAATTTATGGAAGAAAATTGGCTATCGCGAAGTTTGTAGTGATGTCAACGAACTCGTGATGCAAGGCGCTCTTTTAACTTTATTCCCTCCTACTCCACCCAATAGTTGGGTAATTCCTGACGTTAATTCCATTGTAACTCGTTTAAGACAACTCCTTGATCTCGGATTCCAATTAACTGAAATTGTTATGGAAGAAGCGTTTCATTTATTCGAACATAGATTAAATGAAATGGGCGATCTTTTGATAAGTTCGTTTCAAAAAATTCGTAATGAATCAAAATCCACTATTTCTCGATCTTGCCTCATCCAAGCCATAAAACCCGAAAGAAATCATAGAAAATTTGATTTATTGGAATTCTTGATTAATAGAATTGATCAACCAGAAGAAGCTTTAGAAGACGCATTAAATCATTATAACGTTGGGTTTAAATATGACTCCAATTCACTTACATCATCAAAAATGAGATCATTGTCGGTTCATTCAAATTTTTATTATTGGGTACTTAAAAAATATGGTCCAAATTCTAGAATTACGCAACTATGTTTTGATGATATTTTAGAATCAAGAATTTGGATAGATTTAAAATTAAATGAAAATCCTGAATTAGACGTTCCGGAACATCTTACTTCACAAGCATATAATTCAATTTGTTCTATTTATTTAGAATTTTGCAATGACAGAATTCCATTTAAAGCAAATTATTTACCATATTTGAAATTATCCAACGATGAAGAGATAATTAAACCATTTTTTGAAATAGGATTACCAATTATTTTTAATTTAGAATTAAATAGCAAATTGCTTTATGATATTAGTTATGAATGCAATAGACCAGAGTATAAAATTAATAAAATTACTCAGAAACATAGAAGAAAAAATAATAAGGTGATCAAAATAAATAAGAATGAGGTGAAGGAATGGTTTAGAATATTTAAGAATATATATTACGATCACGCTCCTGTAAATAATTCTATTACCGACGTTTTTAGAAGATATTTGGAAGAATTTTGGGAAAGAATTAATTCGTCTCAAACTTTAGAAATTGATGATTAAATTGGGCATTGATACTTTATAAGTTCTTGAAAAAAGGAAAGTAATTTTACTTTTATTAAAATGTTCAATTAATTAAATTATATTAAAGAAATTGTTTTTGGTCGGTCCTCAAAATATAACCCGTTGAATTACTCGTATCGTGAATAATAACGAATAAAGCTTTTCTAATTGTTCTTTTCGAATATCAAATTTAAATTTTTTCTCGCCTCCCTTTATTTCTCAATGTGTATAATATACTGTACATGTTGCCGAAACTCGGCAATTTCGGAATAATTTCCTTCGGCTAATCATTCTAAAGCGAAACTCAAGTCGAAAGTTGGGCCGAAATTTCTGACCGCATTATAAATTTTGTGTAACATTAATGTAACACAAAATAATTCCATCACAGGTAGATCTGACCGGATGATTTGTTTCATCGTTCAGATTTTTGAAATTTTTTTAAAAAAAACTCTTTTTTTTTATATGTAATGACTTTGGGATGGTATGTTTTTGTGGTTTTTTTTTTAGTTTAAAACATTTATTAACATTCTATTTTTTGTTTTTTTTTTGTGGGTTAGACTTGTAGATATTTGCCGGAATCAATTAAAAAATAACAAAAAAAATTGCTTTTCATTAATAACAAATTTAAAAATTATACTTAATTAAAAATCATTAATTATTTTTCAAAAATTAATGGTGGAATTGCAGCATTTAGGATTCAAAATCCACAGTACCGAACGCTGTGAAATTCCATGGAATTTCTGCAGGTTCGGATGATTCAGATCACCTGCTTCATCCGCTGTCATCTGATCTGTCAGATCGGTTCTGACAGACATCTGCCTCATCTGATAGATGACGGATGTGACGGATGACAGGTCATAACTCTAATCGCAGGCATGAAAATTTTTTTGTGTAGCAATCTTTCCTGGTGGCTAAACTTTATCTGATGTCACGTGATATATGATTCTGGCCAACACTAGTTTCGGACATTGATCTCAAGTTTCAGCGGATGCGAAACTTTCCGATCCAGCCATGTTTTCGGCAAGTTTCGGCTACATGTATAGTGTATAAATTCGTATTTAAAAATTCGAAAAAAAAAGTGGTCATTTAGTGTGGTTGAGGCGCAGCACAAATTTCACAAAGATATATGGAACTTGCGTTGTGTTTTTCAAAATGAGACTATGAGATGCTTTGCATCTCATTGATATACTATTCGCTAAGATCATGCGATTATTATATTATTGTTTTAGAAATTCGCGGACGGGACGATGATTATTTAAAAATATGGATAAAAGGTCTATCAGCACGAGTTAAAAGGTATATTTAAAATTTTTATGGTCAGAACCGAAATCAATTATTTCATCGGAGACGGGGTCCGTGCGTCCAAAAATATTTGTTATTCCGGTTAATATATTAGCATCATCTGCTTAAACAGGAAATTTTTTGCTTAATTTTGTGTTAGTTTTGTAAGTAATTGTAAAAATTTCGTACACATATACCTCCACTGCAAGGTTATGCGATCATGTCTAAAAAAAATTTCCGGATGTGGGTGTCAAATAATTTACTGAAGGTATTTTTTATTTAAAAACTGAATAATTAATAATTTTTCATAATATTAGAGACTGAATGTGAGGTAGGTTATTGTCTTTAATAATTGATAAATTGAGAAGCAAGTTCAAAGGATGCGTGATTTCACCACATGCATTATGATAAATTATAACATTGGGATGTATTAATGGATTATAATAAATTAAGGCCTCTTGATGCTAGATATCGACTGTATATTATGCAAAAATGGAAATATTCTGGATCTATAGAAATTATGGAAAATAAGTTCATATTAGGGATCATTTTTTATATTGAATTCTGTATAATTGATCTTAAATTAAAGATAAAAAGAATACAAAACAAACAAAATTAATATTACTAGATATTCGAGATTTTGTTGCCGAATTGTAAAAAAAAAACATTGTTTTGTACCAAGATTAATTTGTTAATCACCTTTCTAAGCGGTATCAAGATCATTTTCAAATTAGCCAAATCACTCGTAAATTTTAAAGTGGATACCACGGAAATGACGGAATACATTATGACATTATATAATTCAAGAATTTAATAACTTGGCGGAGGCAAAAAAAAAATAATAAATGTTATACAATATATACAAATATTATTTCAAGCGTACCCTTATAAAAATACCCGTCTTAATATATAGAATATGTAATATTTCTAAAAAATTATAAACTAAATTTAAATTTAAATTTTTCTAATATTGATGGGACCTGGATCTAAATAATGTTTTAAATTTAGTAAATCAAATTAGACCCGGATATTTTTGTCAGTGATGCATGGTATTAAATGAGTATTAATAAATATTAGATAGATCCATTGTAATTAATGTTCGCTGGTATAATAGCGCCTGTTTCATTTGATTTGTGCTCTCTGAAGTGACAATTAAGCGTTCCTTTAAAATAGAATCGATGTCTTTGAAGCATACATATTTCAACAAATTCCATATATTCTTAATTTGATATATATAAATGTATAATAAAATAAATATTAAGTAATTCTCATTATCATTTCCAATTAATTACTAAGATATAAATGAAATATATAATCAATATAACATTATTATTAAAAATTAAATTAACAATTTAATAACAATTTAATAACTATTCATCCTCTTCTTTAGCACTAAGTATTTCACTTAAAATAAAATTTATAATATAATAGAGTTTACATATTCTCAATATATAAAAAAAATAAATGTAATTAGAAATAAAAATTAAATCAAATTCCAAAGTTATTTATTCAATAATTATAATTAGAAAATAATAAATAATTCATATTTAATTACCTTTATATATATCTTATTTTTTGCTAAAATACTTTTATCTTATTTTTTAAAATTGAATTTTTATTTTAATAAATTTGTCAGTAATTCACCATTATATTATTAAATAATTTATAAATGGATTTATTCTGCATATCATTACCTAATAATAATTAAAAAAAAACAAAACTCGGTGATATATTTTAATTAAATAAAAAAGTTAGTAAAATATTTTGAATAAATAATTTAGAAAAGCTAAAATCAATCCATTTTATGCCAAATTAATTCATCAAATCTAATAATATATTTAATATTCAAGTAAATAATACAAATAAATATAATCCACATATCTTTTTATTCTTTCATCATTAAGTATGCCTTTATATTTGTTAATAATGTCATATCCATTGTTAATATAGTAGTAAAAAATAAGTTATTAATATACAGTTTTATATAAACAAAAAACAAATAAATTAACTAAATTAAGTTTACAAATAGACAATACCATGTGTTTTTGTCGCAGATTAATTGGAAAATGACGGAATTATTTAGAATTCCACGGATTTCCACGGATTTAAACGGAAAAAAAATTCCAGTTGTACCAATTTTTTCCATTATTTTCCTAATATATTTTCAGAAAATTTCTATTAATTTCCATCTAATTCTTCATATCCACTATTAATAATTTCTATTGAATTATTTCCACTCATATTCATTATTATTTAATAATATCCAATGTATATTATCATCAAGATAAATTAGTAATATATTATAATAAATTATTCCGTATACATTTTTATTATTCATTTCAATCGAATTCTTCTCTACATTATAATATACTATAAACAACTAGAATGTAAAATTCTTCAAATCATTTTTCTTAATTATTAATAATATCCTATCGAATTCAACAGTAGCTTTTATCTCATATTCATATATATTCTGTATATTACACTATCAAGGAATAAGAAAAACAAATCATTCCATGGCATTTCTTAATTATTTTATTTTAATTATAATATGATAAAATCGATTCAATTCAATTTGATTTGATTTAATGCTTTTTTTGAATCAATCATGAAAGACGTTTTCACAACGCTTTTTGTTAAAACAATTAAAAAACGTTGCGAACCGTTTTTTTATTTGCTAAATTACATGTTAAAAACGTTTCGCAACGTTCTTTAACTGTTTTAATAAAAAAACTGTTGCGAACGTTTTTTATTATTAATTTACTTAATTAAAAATGTTTCGCAGCGTTTTAATAAGTCATCTATTACGTAAATGATCTGTGTTGCTCAATAAATTAAATTATTTTATCCCTTTTGATATTAATGAAACATCCTTTTTGTTTTTTAGACTTGAATCTAGATCAGTGATCGGATTGACGATGTGGTGTTATGGTAAGCATCTTATCTTCAATCCTTATTTTTAATAATAATTTATTGCTGATTTTTTTTTCGTTTTTTCAAACAAAAGCCTTCTTAACTCGTATAATTAAAATAATATATACTGTATAAAGCAATGATCAGAGGGCGTTTAACATGCAAAACGCCCTCTGATCATTACTAAATAGTACTAAATCACAGGAGCGTTGATAAATATATTTCTCTCATATTTTAAAACCTATATTATAAAAACATTAACTATTAATAATTCAAATGAATTAAAAATATCATTATTATTTTAAATTCGAATATTTTTATGTGCTTTATTTAATAAATTCTCACTGGTATACGCTAACATATATTACAGCATTTGTTTGTAAGTTAATAAATTAAGTAAAAAAGTCTATTATTGATAAGATATGTCGATGATAATTAATATATTTTTTTTTAGATTTAACCACGAGGAACGCGTGACTACGCGGATGCTGTATCAGGTTTCATGCTCGACCCGAGTAGCTTCTTAGTAAAATTATTCAATACACCAAGATTAAGTGGTTAAGTTCTTTAAAACATTCATTAAACTTGTACTTAAAGATCAAACTGAGCAACGGAATAAGAATGTAAGGGAATTTTATACATGGATCTTTCACTAATAATAATGTATTATTTATTTTAACGTCCATACATATAATACTATATATGTTTTTCTTTTATGTTGATCCAAAGCTAAAAAATTATTTAGTTCTTCAACACCAAAGACGACAGAATTAATATAATTTTCATCCCTATTACTGTTAACATCTTTAAAAATGACGTCGAGTGCCTTTGCAATTGTGAGCTTTCTTTTTCTACACTTTCCCGAAAATTGTTCATAATTCATAGTTCCAGAAATAAAGTGCTTGTATTCTAGAGCCTTTCTGATATGGATGTTCACTCCAGTGTCTACTTTTATGGTAGAGTGTTTTTGTCTTTGTCTCGATAAGGCCTAAATGTCGTAAGTTGTGAGATAGTTTCTGTCTTTGATTAGGGGAGAGTGTAGTTGTGACCGTATGTATACTGTTGGGGTTTTTATATGATTTTGTTTGTTGTGCAATATTGTTGTGGTTATTATGACATTTCTTTAATGGAAAAGTTTGCTTTAGATTTCGTGTTTTTCGTGTTTTTCTCTTATTAGGCAAACTCACGCTCTTTTAACTATCTCCCATCCTTCAAATTACACTCTACGACGCATCCATCCAACATTTTACGACTCCTTCTCCTCATAACAACATACTATCACGTGACGAAAGATTTATCAAAACCAACATCTGTAAAAATATACAAGAGACCGTATGGAAGTTACCTGTGCAGGATTTGTCGATAGTTTGTCTTTGCTGTGGGAGTGCTCTTTTTTTAGCTTTTGTTTATCTAAGGAATTACGAAAATTCTTATCAATCACATCAATAGCTTGCTTAAAGTTACATTGTTTTAAGGCCATGGGTGGACTTGGGCTTATCATCATCGTCTACATTGACTACTTATTTTCCTCACAACAATCTATATAACGAAGAACATTTAACAAATATCAAACATTATCAATCGGTTGCGTGCATGTGTGTTATGTGTGTGGTGTTGTTTTGCTTTCCCTCGCTCTTTCCCCTTCCTCTTCCTTCTCTCTCATCCCCTTTCCCTTTCCCCTTTCTCATCTTTTTCTCTCAAGACGACACACAAGACTACAACTATCAACATCCGTCAAGGATACAATAAAAAAAAAACGAATTATCAACTATTTCATCACTAGAACTCAGAAAAAAGTGGAGGCAACGTATAAAACATTAGCTATAAAATATCAAGAACTTAAAAACTGTATAAAAAACAACAATAATCAATGAAAAGATACGAAACAAAACATCGTCAACCTCCAGATAAACGTTACTAGTTTGGAACAAAATTTCCAATTATACGAACAAACCCAAACTCAAATGAACCAAAAACAAGATCCCATTATTAACAAAATAACAAATACATTTATACCATCTCAACCAAAACAATACCAATACGAAATTCTCTCCCTTTTTATCTTTTATCAGTCTATTACCAAATCAACGGCTTTTTGATTAATCCAACTTTACTTTACGCATATCGATTTTTAACACATTACTATCAATGACAGAACCAGATTTCACACTGGTTGCGAAAATTATAATTCTTCTCTTCACCTTTTCTTTGAATATTTATTTAGAATGGAAAACTGAAAAAAAGAAGATATAAAACTAATTAGTAAGAAAATCACCTCCAAGAATTGAACTTGGACACAGATATTGTGGAACCAACGGTGATGGATAATTGTTGAGTTGATAAGTTATTAAGGAAAGAACTCAACAAAGGAATAAAATAAAGGGTATCACATGTGAAGAATGAAATCACATGAGATAGATCAAATGACCAAGAAAGAGTAAATTTTTACAAGACAAAGGATCTCTCTGACACCAATTAAGGGCGATGCAAACGATCCCCTTGTAAAATTTATCTATCTAAGAATGGTCAAATGATCAAGAAAGGGTAAATTTTTACAAGACAAAGGATCTCTCTGACACCAATTAAGGGCGATGCAAACGATCCCCTTGTAAAAATTATCTATCTAAGAATGGCCAAGTATTCCCGAGTTGACCAAAGGGTAAAGATTACGTCTCCATGCTATATTTGGTAAGCCATGGACCTAGCTACGTAATATAAAATTATTTAATTAAATAATGTCTAATTTATTGGGAATTTTCAAGGGTATTTTTTAAATCAACTATCAAATCAATTTTATGTTTGTAAAAAGAAAGTGAAGATAAAAGAAATAATATTATAGAATGAGTTAACTCATAAAGAAAATCAAGAAAATAAAGAAGAGAATCAAGAAATAAAAGAATAATTGACATAGCAAGAGAATATTGTGATAATAATAAAAGATTTGAAATAAGAAAATGTTTAAAAGGAGAGAGATTTGATAGAAGATTTGATGGATGAAATTGTTGGAGGAGAAGAGAGAGATTTGAGAGAGAGAGATTTAAGGAAAGGAAAAAGAAAGTATTAATTATGGTTTTTATCAATATTGAGAATAAAATGAGTGTATTGGTGAGAAGATTTGTATATATGAATAAAAATATAAAAAGAATGTATAAGTAAGTAATGAATATTGATAAATACTGAGAGGTAAATGGTTCAGCAGATTGAAGATGGTATGGAAAACATTTGTCAAGAGGAATAGTATTTAAAGGAGTATTGATGAAATTTGCACACATTTGGTAAGACATTTTAGATTTTAGTAATATTTGAGAAAATTCAAATTGAAAAATTTGGTTGAAAATTTGATTGTAAATTTGATTGTAAAAAAAAATTGGTTGAAAATTTGATTGTAAATATATATTTGAAAAAAATTGAAAAGTTTGTTTGATTTTTATTTTCCCTTGAGAAAAATTTAAGGGTATATATATACTTGTAAAAACCCTTGATACATAGTGACTCATAAAAAAAAATTAAGATTATGTATGAGTCACATTGTGGCTTATAATACATACAATCTATAATATTGTGTAATTAATATATTATTTAACTAATATTTTGACTAATATCTATGATCATAATTTATTGATTTTATAAAATCTAGTAT